GTTACCCAGCTTGTGTTATTCTGTTATAGTAACACAAAATGGACTAAGAAACACACAAATTGCCTTCAAGTGACTCTTATAGCCAAATGGCCAAAACTACTTTTAAAAGTGTTCAGTATCCTTAGTCATTAATTAAAACTACTTTGAGTTACCTCCTCACTCTAATTAGAATGGCCATTGTCAATAAATCTGAGGGCAAATGTCAGAGAGAAAGGAACACTTATTCACCTTTGGTAAGATGCCAATTAATACATCCATTGTGGAAATCAGTTTGGATATTTCTCAAAACTTAAAACTAGAACTACCATATGATCCAGCTATCCCACCCCTGGGTGTACACCCAGAGAACACCATACCGTATCATAGAGATACTTATTCCTATGTTTATTTCCGCCCTATTCATTACAGCATCAGCAGATTAATGGACAATGGGGATTTGGTAATGCATGTAAAGTGGAAAATACTATTCAGCTCTTACTAAAAATAAAATCACAAAATTTTCAGGAAAGTGGATGGATAATATTAAGCAAAGCTACACAATCTCAGAAAGAAAAAAATGTGTGTTCTCCTTTCACATGCAGAACCCAGGCAATAATCTATGTATATATACAAACAAACTTACGTGTGGGTACTGTATAACACAAGGAAAAGAGAACAAGAAAGGCTAGATATTAGAGGTAAGGAAGAACTAAATGAAACGGACACAAGTTATTAAACAGGATAAAACAACTAATGACTTTTTCTAGTTCTATCTTTGTCATTGAATTTTGTTTGTTTTCATTGTGGATGAGCATTTAAAAACATACTCAATAAAGAAAGTGTAAAATCCAGTGCAATGCTCCACAGCTTCAGAATGGCTGTTCTAACTGTACAGAGATTTGTTAAATCTTTGGATCAGGTTCATTTTGGTGTCTGATTCTTTATTGCTACTTTTTAATAATTATGGTTAAGTTTTGTTTTAAGGGTTAAAAAAGATATTGTTGCAGAAATGTGGACTTTTTAAAAGATGTTTCTAGTGAAGACTCGGAGAGAAAAGAGAAGCAGAGAAAGAAAGCTCTTGGACATATCTTCCATGAACAGAATGGTAGCAGAACCACTGAGATGCCACGAGCCTGAGGGGGCCTGGAAGGAATGTTATAGGCACTGGCTGCAGTAAAAGTGCTTTTCTAGAGTGTTGGGAAGCTGTGCAATGGTTGTCCTATAGTGCTGGGCGGAAAGAAAGCAGAATTCATTAGCAGTGAAGTTGACATCTAACCAAGGAATGTTTGGATGCTGTGGCCTAGGTTCTCCTAGGTGCTTGTGGTACTCACTGAAGAATAATCAATCACACTGATGTGTTTCGAAACCGATAGGGATCCCACGACACACCACCAAAGTCCAACTTAGTGAACCAAGGGGTTACTTACAGGAGCAGAAATGACTCAAAGACAGCTGTATCACCAAGGCCCACACGGGTGACAGCTCACAAAAGCTGGGAACCTGGAGCACACTGCACAGCCTGCAGGGACTTCAATAGGTTGGAGAGTGTCCTTTCCAAGTGACTCTGGTCTGAACCTCTTCCAGGCAGCTGGCCTGGTCTCAGAGTCTTAGTAGCTTTTCTCCTCTGAGAGTCTTTTTTGCAAGCTGGCTTTTGCTGCTTACTCTGACACAGAGGAGCCTAGAGAATCTGATCAGTTTCAGGGACTTCCTGAAGACCTTTTGAGTTGTTTATCTACCTGCTTGAGGAGCTTCCCTGCATGATACAATGTTTCTATCTCAGAGGAAACTGAGGAAGAGATGGAGAAGGAGAGGGAGAGGAAGAAAGTTGAGGAAAGTGGTGATTGGGCAGGTCCACAACCTGCCCAGGTTGGTAAAATTCGGAAATGAGTGTTGAGAAAGGGCGGCACATGCCTTTCATCCCAGCACTGGGGAATCAGAAGCAAGCGGATCTCTGTGAGTCCGAGGTCAGCCTGGCCTACAGAGTGAGTTTCAGGACAGCTAAGGCTTCACAGAGAAACCATGTTTTGGGGAAAAAAGAAAGAAACAAGAGAAAAAGAAAGGTCTGAACACAATGCTGCAAGTGTTGTGTTGGGGCCCATAAAGATGGCTCCACTTCATCTTGGTTCAAGGTCAGAGAGTTCAAAACTGTCCTTAGTAAGTCATAAGGTCTAAAGGCACAGGAGACCCACAGTTGCTAAGACTAAGCAGCTGCAGGTCTAGCATGTATGAGGGCATCGTGGGGGAGGGAGGGAGGGAGAGAGGGAGGGCAGGCTGTCACACTTGGGGCCCAGCCCTAGAGGCCTTCTCACTGTGTGGGTGCTAGGTATCAAAGCAGCTTAACAGGCCCTGAGTATTAAAGCCTCTGGTCACCCTTGAGCTACCAGGTCACCTTCTTACCTCCCAGCTTATCTGGGAGCAGCCTCCCTCCCTTTAATGAAAACACAAGGCTGCCTCTGGAAATCTATGCTTAGAAGGGAACTCTTCAGATCATCATAATGAGGCTAATCTCAACAGCTAGTGAGTGACCTTGGGCCAGATGGATCCTTCTCTGAGACTTGGTTTCCTCATCTGTTGAATGAGCATCATCTCGTACCTTTCCTGCCTTCGTCTGTCCTCCCTCCCTCTCTCCCTCCTGCCTCTCCTTCCTTCCTTGTTTCTTTTGTTTCTGGCTTTAGTTTTCAAAACAAGGTCTCCTTATCCTTTGCCTCAGCCTCCCAAGTGCTGGGTAACAGGCATGGACCACCATGATTAACTAGCCCTTGTCTTTTCTGACAACTACAAAGCACAATGGACCTTGGGTATGTTTGAGACCGTTCACATGCAGGAAGCTTTGAAAAATATCTATTATCTGGAACTGGAGTGTTGGTTCAGCAATTAAGAGCACTTGTTGCTCTGTTCCAGAGGACCCGAGTCTACTTTCTAACACATACATCAGGCAGCTTGCAACAGCCTGTAACTCTAGCTTCCAGGGATCGGATGCTGTTTTCTGGCATCTCTGTGGGCATTTTTATTCCCTCCCTCCCCCTTCTCAAACATTTGTTTCCTGTTTTTTATTTTAATTTAGCCTATGTGTATGTATACATGTGTATGTGTGAAGGTAGAGGGTAACTCTGTGGAGTTGGTATTCTCCTTCCACCTTTAGTAGCTTCTGGGGGCCAAACTCAGGTTGCCAGGCCTGCACAGAAAGTACTTTTACCCACTGAGCCATCTTGCTAGCCCTATTTCCTGTTTTCTGATAAGAGAATACTGCTACTCATTGTAGCAAATTCAGAAAATACAGGGAAGAGTAAAAAGGCCAGAAGAAAGAAGGTCTGCCCTACAACAGCCAGGCATGAAGGAGGCGGAGCCAGCTCCGGATAGACCCTATTGTGTTCTCAGCTCCTGAACTGGCCTGGTAGGTAGCAGTGTTCAGCAGTCACCCCCTCCCGCCCCGCCCCCAACACACATCCTCAAGGTGTCTCCAAGCCATCATTTCTGAACCTGGGGATGGAGCCAGTAACTGCCAGGTAGGACTACAAAGTGGTCATAACCCAGACATAAACAGCATCCTACTCATGTCCCCTCCCCCTAACCTGCCATCAGGAAGCTGACCCCAGTGGTTCCCATGGAGGGCTCCGAAGGACCTGGCAGAAACATTTAAAAAGGAAAGTCTGGTTTTCCCTAACAGCTAGCTAGTTGGAGGTACAAATTTGGGTTACTAAAAAATCCCTTTTATTCTTAAAAGGCAAAACATCTTTAAAAAGAGCAGAAGTCCCCTCTCCCCCCAGTCGTTCACATCTATTTGAATCTTATTAGCCTTTGACAATGGAACTTTAGGGGCTTGGTCCTTTGTGAAAGGTTTTCAGGATGAAATTCCCCTCTCCCCCTCCCCCAGACACGGTCTCTGTGTAGTTCTGTAGACCAGGCTGGCCTGGAACTCACAGAGATCCGCGGGCCTCTGCCTCCGGAGTGCTGGGATTAAAGACGTGCCATTCAGGCCAACCACTCATATACATAAAGTAAAATAAATGTAAAGAAAAAGTTAACATGCTCTCTGGAGGGTTTGGAGAGCTCTGGCCCTGCCCAGATCCCATCTCTGCCTTCCCACCTCCTGTGGGTGAGATAACAGATTCTGTTGTTCTGTGTGGAGCTCTATCTGTAGCGCTTTGTTCTGCGGGCCTAGGAAACATCCCCACCTAAATAGTCTGTGGGCCAGCACTGCTGAACACCTCGAGGCCTGAGCTACACAGTGTGGTAGGTGCCATTTTCACACCTGTCACAGCTTCCACCGGCAAATCAAGCGCACTTTAGATCCCGTGAGTCCCATCCGTGATCCTACAGGCTGAGAGGGGGCCACACAGGGCAGTGGGATCTCTGGCTCCGTGGCAGGGAGCACTGTGTCTCAGAGTGTGCTCCACCAGAAGGTGGAAGCGGGGTTGGTGTCATAGTGGGGTCTGTGGATGGACCCGCCTTTCGCGATGTGGCAGAACGGACATAAGCTTGATTTCGACTTAAGGAAATTGAAGAAAGCCATCACGGGGGACCCACAAGTTCAAGAGGAAAGGGGATATTAGTGGAGGTAACCAACCCTGATTCCAGAGGAGAATGAAGAGGCATCTCTCATGGCTCAGAAAGCAGAGGCTGGAGAGCCTGCTTGGCTGGAGCCCGGTTCTGTTATCTACCAGGACATGCACTCTCCAAAGTCACCCGCCTGTCCCTCGTGTCCAGAGAAGGGTGCGGAGCGGAAAGGTATGCAGTCCCTGCTACAAGAGGGACTCTAGCTCAAGGGATCAGCCTGGGGATCCTCAAAAATCCGCCTCACCAAAAAAAAAAACACCTCCTCACCAGGTGTCCAGTCCGCACCTCAGTCAACCCGACCCCACCCCAAGGCGTAGGCGGGATTTGACTAAAGTTCACCACTAGCATCTTGGAGGCGTGCCTTGGGTGTGGCTAGAGACAGCCCCGCCTCCCAGAGGCCCGCCCCTCCGTTAGGCCCCGCCTCCGCCCAGGCAGGTTCCTCTGACCGCTGCGGAGCGCTCAGGATGAGCCGGGTGTCTGCGACCCTCCGCGGCAGGACGAGGCCCCGGGGGCGGACCGGGACCACGACCACAACGCCGGTGCCACGGAACCAGACAGGTGAGGGCTGGGGCCGCGGGGCTCAGCGCCCTTTTCGTAGACCGAGGAGCGGAGGGGCGAGGGGCTGCCGTGCTGGGGACCGAGTCTAGGAAGGGGGCGTGCGTCGCTCCCCCCACGGCCTCCCAGAGAACGAACTTTCCCGACTTCCCAGCGATCCAACGGGCGACCCCAGCTGAGCCGAAACCGGGCGGCGAGCTACTTGGAACCAGGCGGCAGGCATCACTTAGCGCTTGCACGAGTTCGGCGATGGTCGCCCCGCCGCCGTCCCGGACGCCTGCGGAAGTCGGAATCGGCTTCACCTGGCTGGGTGCACGGCCCAGGGGCGGAGGGAGCTGCCGGGGTGACCTCTGGGCGGGAGAGAAGTATTATCTTTGGAATTCTTTGGTGACTCCTCCAGCCTCACTTTATAAAAAGGGAAACTGAGCCTGTGAGAGCAAACAGGCTGCGGTCACCCAGCAGCGGGGACCCACCCGGCTTGCGCCTAGGCTGTCAAAGGTCAGAGGTCTCTGGAAGGAGACCTAAAATTGCTGAAGAGGGTTCTGTTGTCAGCTTTGGTAACTTTTACAAACAGCCAAAACGGAACCCTGCATTTTCCCCAAGAGTTCAGTCCTGTGCAGCATGAAGGTATCTCTGAGGAGGGCTTGACCCCATTGCACTGAAGATAGCATTGCCCTCACCGTACTACAGTGGTTCTCAACTTTCTTAATGCCGCAACCCTTTAATACAGTTCCTCATGTTGAGGCGACTTCACAACCATGAAATTATCTTGTCGCTACTTCATAACTGTAATTTTGCTACTGTTAAGAATCGTAATGTAGCCTGGCGTTGGAGGCGCATGCCTTTAATCCCAGCACTCCGGAGGCAGAGGCAGGAGCATCTCTGTGAGTTCGAGGCCAGCCTGGTCTCCAGAGTGAGTGCCAAGATAGGCTCCAAAGCTACACAAAGAAACCCTGTCTCGAAAAACCTAAAAAAAGAATCATAATGTAAATATCTGTGTTTTCTGATAGTCATAGGCCACCCCTGTGAAAAGGTTGTTCAACCCCCCAAAGAGTGTCCTGACACAGGTTGAGAACTGCTACCCTAGTGGGTTTGATTTATTTGATACCGTCCCACCTGTTCCAGGGCCGTTGTTGGCCCCACAGGTGCGCCTAGTTTTAGCTTCCCAATTCTTACTTCACAGGAGTGCCTTTGTGTTTGGGGAGACCAGTCTTGGGCCTGGTAATGCTGGAGAAGGGGTACTCTGTGATTATCTTCTGCTTAGCAGCCTGGAGGAATAGGTGTCACTAGCTAGAAGAGGTGGTTGGTCTTGCCCAAGGTTAGCCCATGGTCCTAGGGTGGCCTGAGACCCTGCTGAGTTTGCATACAAAAGGCTATTTGCATAGGAATACTCAAAAGGTCTGAGAGTCCAGTGTCTTGGTTTCCCCTTGCCCTGCCTGGCTTCAGGAAAGATTAGTGTTCTTGCAGTATGTCCTTTGGGCCCAGCTTCTAAGCGGGTCCCAGATACAGGGTCCCTTGTTGAAGTTTTGGTTGTAGTCTCCTCAAACCTGAGATGAGTCCTTTTTCTGTGCCTCAGTTCCCTTACGAGATATAAGCGAAGTGGTGTATTCCTGCCTCCAGGCTGTGGGCAGGACTAGCAGAGTACAAAGAGAGGCCTTGTCCTTGAATAATGTAGTGCTGGGACTTCCCGCCTGTCCTGTTTGTTTAATGTGCTAGGAAGGCAAAAGAAGGGGCCTGAAGCCACAGGGAGATAGTTTGGTGTTATCAACAAAAAAGAAAAAAGAAAGAAAAGAAAAAGAAACAATAATTGGGATGTAGAGTAATTGGGATGCGTGGCTCCCACAATCTGTAGAATGGGCCCACTACTGAATAGGCCAGAGGCATTCTGGAAGTCTGTGGTTCCCTGTAGGTAGGAAAGACTGGCTAAGTGCAGGACGAAGAGTGTTGCCATTGCCCCACCCCCTTCAGCCAGGGTCTCCTATCTGGACTGGATGGACAGTTTTGGCTCTGCTCCCAGGCTGCTCCTGGACTCTAGTCTGGGAGGTTTTCCGGGAACACAGGGTTCCGGTGGCTAGAAGCCACCTCCTGGTAACTCCGGGAGGGACCTTGAAAAGTACAAAAAGAAACTTGGTGGATAGGTGCAGGTGTACCTTTTGAGTGTGCTCTTGCTTCATCATTGAAGCCTGCTGTGCCCATATCATATAGGGTAAACTGAGGCCCAGTGATAGCCAGTGTGAATCAGCGTGAGGTTCGCCTCCCCTTATCATATACTCCCCCAGAATATTCCGGGTTACATTTTCGTTGGTTAGAATAGTCTCTGCCCTGCCATGGAAGGGAGCACACAGCCAATGATGTGGAGCCCAGCCTAGTTGGCCCACGGTTTCAGGGGCATGGGAAGATAGGCTCCAAAGGGACAGATGGCTTCCCAGGGGAGTCATAGCCAGTGTTAGAGCCACATGTTGTCCTGGCTGCTGGTGTCTCTGCTGTCAGAGTGCTTGTGTATGCTAAGTCAGTCATCTCTAAAAACTTTGACCCCCCCCCCACCATCACCATCACCATGATTCACACTTGGCACTTGGAGAAATGCAGACCCAGAGCAAAATTACATAAGGGCTCACTGGCAGGTAGAGACACAAACCTAGCTACCAGGTTCTGGTGAGGCTGTGCCCAAAGGCCTGCCTTCCCTTTCCCTGTACTCAAACAGCCTCTACCAACATAAAAGGGAACTTATTAACATCAGGGTGAGGGGGGCATGGGCCCCAGGAAGGACAGAGTTGCTGGCCCCCGCTGCCTGTGGTCCAAGGTTCCAGATAAAAGATTAACAAACAAGGCTCTTTCTCAGGCATCCAGCTGGCTTCAAGGACTGGGGGAGGAGGAGAGGGACTCCTCCCAGATCCAGCCATGTGCACCTCAGGGTGGAAGGACCTGGGATCCCAGCTACTGCAGGTGGACTGTGTTGAGATGTCGGGTGGGACAGGCTAGAGACCCTCATGGGCTGGGAGGGTCACCTTGCTGTGCACATCCGTCCTTTGCACTGTTCTAAGCCTAGAGGACCAAGCTGGGTCATGGTGTGTTTTTCATGTTAATATTAATCCCATTTGCTTCTTTTTTTTTCTGTTGCTTTTCACTCTCTTGATGGTTTCCTTTCACATGGAACAAAAAAGTGGCCCCCAGGGTAAAAACTGTACCAGAAGTTTGCCCAGAGGTGGGAGGGTCTGGACACAGTGAAGGTCTACAGGCCATGCCATGTCCAGTGTCCAGAGTTGGTGCACAGAGAGGGCTGAAAGCCACCTGTTGTTACTTAGTTGGCTGCTTTCCTGGGAACATGGGTGTCTTCAGGTTGAGTTAGGAAGTTGTATGCCCGCTGGGCCTGGGTTCGATGGAATGTTTTTGAACAGTGGAGGAGCAGATGGAGTCTGTGGAGTATCGATGAGGAGTAACTGGGGGGTCTGTAGGTTGAGTTGGGAGTCTCTCTGTAAGTACTTTTTTTTTCCCCTCAAGAAAAGGTCCCTATGTAGCCTTAGCTGTCCTGGAATTCGCTCTGTAGATCAGGCCGGCCTCTAACTCAGAGATCTGCCTGCCTCCATCTCCCAAGTGCTTGATCTAAAGGCTTGCAGCACCACGCCTGGCTCTTGGTAATGCCTTGAAGTATCCCTTCAAGAGGTAGGTCTGCTTGTGTCGCTCATGCTGGCCTTGAGCTCTCCGCCCTGCTTGAGCCTCCTGAGTGCCTGTTCCACTGCCCCCAGAGAGTCACTGGCCTCATAGACTTAGACAGCATCTCTCTCCCTGCCTGGTGCTGTCTGTGCGTTCATTTAAAGGCCATCTGAGGCTGAGGAAACTTAGGTGCCCACCCTGGTGTTTGCCTTGGGCAGATCCATGGGCCTCAGCCTCAACTAGAAGATGAGTTCACCCCAGAGTAGAATCTAGTGCCCTTGCAGGCCCAGGGATGGGTGAAAGAGACCCCTGTCAGGGCATGGAGGTCCCTTGTGCTGTGAACTTGGGAGACTGGAGACTGCATGTGTGCGTGCACACGTGTGTTTTAGTTACCACCGTGGTCTGGAGTGCTTAAGACATGGCTTAAAGTCCTACTGAGGGATGTAGTGCAGTTGGTGGAGACTTGCCTAGCATGCATGAAGCCCTGGATTCCAGCCTCGGTGTGGTATAGGCCCGATGTGGTGGTGCACACCTGCTCAAGTCCACCTAGGCAAATGCTGTCAACCAGCCCTGCCTCAGTATCTCTACCATGTAGCCCCACCCTCCCTGTGACTCAGTAGGACTGAATACCTATTTTGCAGATGGGGAAGTCTGAGGCCAGTGTGGAATGTGGGCTGGAACTTGCTGCTGGATCAGATCCAGGAACCCATATGTCTTTCCCTGCCCTACTATGGGGGAAAAATCTGGGGGCTTATGTTGGGGAGACACTCCCAGGCAGGGCCATTTTTTTCTGTGCTTCCTTCAACTCTGTTTTAAAGGAAGTTGGGCCCTCCTGGCCGGAAGTCTGCTTGAATAACAAACACAAGGAGGAACAGCTTATCCCCACTGTCCACCTCTGTTCTTTGCCCAAACTCTTCTATTTCGCTTTTTTTTTTTTTTTTTTCTGAGACAGGGTTTTTCTGTGTACCTTTGGAGCCTATCCCGGCACTCGCTCTGGAGACCAGGCTGGCCTCAAACTCACAGAGATCCGCCTGCCTGTGCCTCCCGAGTGCTGGGATTAAAGGTGTGCACCACCAACGCCCAGCCCTATTTCTCTTTTTAAAATGGAAAAACAATAGTTAGGAGGCTGGGCTCTACACCCTGTGAATCCCCTAGAGGGCTGGCTAGAAATGCCTTATTTGGGACCAGGTCTGTACTTGAAGCCCCTCCATCCCAGTCTCCCCAAGTCTGCCACAGGCTGTTCTCTCCTCCCTGCCTTCTTCATACCTTCTGCTCAGGGGCTGCCATTCCTCTTGTTGGGCTTGCACTAGAAGTGCCTCTCTAGTTTTATTTAGCCCTTTAGTTTGATGGGAGCCCCTGGGCTTCTGACAGCCAATGTGGCAGGGCTGACTGGTCCTCTTTTCTTGGTTGCTGTTGGTGACTTCACCCTTCATCCCCCACAGTTATGAGGCTCAATGACAGGTCAGGAAATCTGCACTTTAAGATTCGTGACTGCCTGGCTGCGAGGTGTACCAAGGCCTATAGTCACTAGCTGAGGACAGGCACCGTGTCCCAGCAGAGCCCTCCCCAGAGCACCGGATGTGGCTGTTGACAGACATAGTGCGAACCAAGTGGGGACACCGCGGGGCCCCACCCGCTCTGCAACTAAGACATATTTATTTAGGGGAAGTGGACCACGGGTGGTTTCCTTGATGGGCCACAGTCTTTTCTGCATCCAGTCCTCTGGCATCGCTGCCTGGGGTGTCCATTTGCAAGTGATGGTACAAACCCAGGGTAAGAAGTTCCCAGGTGATAAAGGCAAGCCTGAACTAGATGCCCTGGCTTCACAGCCTTGGGTACGTAGAAGGCTGAAGCCTGTCATGGCCATCCCATATGGGGGATACTTATGCTTCTGGCCACTCCTGCCGGCCGGGTCCCTTTGGGATGAAGCTCTAGTTCAGTAAAGCACTGTGCCGGTAGGCCACTGTGGGGGCTTCTTCCCCCACCGCCACCTCCTCTCTGGCTGTGACCAGGCTGGTGGCAGGTGGTCAGGGTGGGCCTCCGCTCTGTCAGCTCAGCTGCAGAAGAATGCAGAAGTTGTGACTCTAAATTGAGGACTGGGAAGTGTTGGCTGCCTGGCATCCTGGTGAAGAGCTCTGGGGCTGGCCAGTGTCTGCCCAGCCATGTCTACTACAGCTGCAAAATGTCCACTTTGCTGGCCAGCGGGATAGTGTGTTTCCACATTGCAGGATTCTGAGAAGGCAAAGGGGGAGTGCGAACCATAAGTCTGTGAAGTCAGCATCCTTTAGTCTTACCCTGATATCTGTGGAGACAGAGCTGGTGCTTCATGAAGAGAGATGAGACCCTGGAATCGAGAGTTCAAATTATGGGCAGGTAGTAGTGGTGCACGCCTTTAATCCCAGCACTCAGGAGGCCGAGGCAGGTAGATGTGAGTTCAAGGCCAACCTGGTCTACAAAGTGAGTTCCAGGACAGCCAAGGATACACAGAGAAACCCTGTCTTGAAACCACCCTCTAAAATAAAATAAAGTTATGGCTGTAACTGTGACAGCTAATGACCCAAAGCCAGTGAGAGCTAGCTCAGGGTTACTGGTCTTCATGGTTTCATGACAAGCATTTTACCAGCTGAGCTAGCTTCTCACTGGCCTTCCTGTGTCCCTATTTAAGGACAACATTGCTGTCCCTGCTTCAGGGCCTTTTACTATAATTGGCAGCTGTGAATCAGCACATTTGTTTGTACCTGAATGAGTAAGCCTGTGCTTCTTGCTAGAGATGGGGGGTGCTCTCTAGAGTCTGCTGTCCGGCTAGGCTCAGAGGCAGACATTCTCCTCACCAGAGTGGAGGCCACATAAGCCCTCACACTCACCAGACTCCTCCCTTTTCTGCCCCAGGGGATACTGGTTTTCATCATCATCATTAGTTGTGTGGTGCTGAGATGGAACCCAGAGCCTTGATGTTAGGCAAGTGCAGTATGAGAGTGACACCCTCATCTTTTTCTCTTTTCATCTCAGCCACCTTGGGGCTGGAGGGGCAACACCATGGTTAATAGCACTTGCAACTGGGCCTGGTGGCTTTCACAGGTGTTTTTTTTTGTTTGTTTTGTTTTCTCTCTCTCTCTCTCTCTTTTTTTTTTTTTTTTTTTTTTTGGAGACTGGGTTTCTCTGTGTAGCTTTAGAGCCTGTCTTGGAACTCACTCTGTAGACCAGGTTGGTCTCGAGATCCTCTGCCTCCTGAGTGCTGGGATTAAAGGCATGTGCCACCAATGTCCACCCCTCCTGCCTTTGGAGCAATGTTTATCTAATCATTGTGTGTTGTCATTGTCTGGTCACAGTCCTCAGACCCTATAGATTTTATTCACTTAAGGCCAGCCCAGGTCTGGAGGACCTCCTCCTGAGGCGCGGTGGCAGCGCCTCCTGCCCCCGCTGACCATACCCCAGCCCTCACAGCCCCCTCCTTCTACAGCCACCTGTGTTCAGCTCCACCCGCCCCCTCGAGGGACCTTGCAAGTCGTCCGTGGAAATGGCACTTCTCTGGGGACTGTGCTCATGTTTCACTGCCCCTCTGGACACCAGATGGTGGGGTCTGGCCTCCTCACTTGTACCTGGAATGGCAGTATTGCTGACTGGTCTTCAGAAAGCCCTGTGTGTAAAGGTAAGCACCCCCCCCCCAGGTGCCCCAGGCCCCAGCTCAGCTGCTGGTGGGGGTGGTGAGGTGGGGACCCCATGTACTGTCGTATTCACGTTGAAGGTAGTTGGTGTCCTGTCATTGGCTACTCCACATTGAAGGTTCTCTTCCTACTGTTGCCCGCTACGACTGAGTACAGATAGCAGACTCAGGGCTGGCTTCAGTCCTGCTGCTGCCCTGGCCCCTACTGGTCACTAGTGATGTGGTCACTGTCATGTGCAAAATGGGGAAACAAACCCTAGCCATTTCCTTACCCACTCTCCCTTCTTTCATGAATGCCTCAGGCAAACCCTGAAGGGTGTTCTAGGTGCCAAGAATTCTAGGAATTGGGAGTGCGTGCCAGCCCTGGATTGCCTGTCTCGGGAAGGAAGATGCACCTCCTAGTTGTCTAGTTGTGTGTGTAGCACAAGCAGAACCTGTCTTGATGTCCAGTGTCTCATGTGGCCTTTTCCTAAGTGAAGACTGGTGTGTTTTGTTGGTGCACAGAGCCGAATTAGTTTGGTGCTTGTGTGTGTGTATGCATGTTGCAGAACTCAGAGCCTTTAAGGCCCTGGTATTGGCTCAGTCTCTTGAGAAGAGGGTGCCTGGAAGGACTAGGTTCTGAGAGATTGAATACCCAAAGTAGCAAGGCTAACCTGTCAGCGTCATAGCCCAGGTGGTGACAAGGTGTCCCAAGAATGAGCTCTACAGGGTTAGGCCCCTAGGGCAAAGGGCATGCATACCCTTGTATCTTGGTGGATGATTCTAAGCTGGCGTCCCATATCACAGCTTGTTACCCACCATTGTCCAGGCATGGCCTGACTGTGAGAGCTGGAGTCTCAACTCTCAGTGCTCAGCATCCAGACAGGGAGCTAAGAATGGGATGGGGACCTGGGCTATGCCTGCTGTAGGTATATTATGCATTTACAATTTATACAAGTTTTTGTTTATTCAAATTACAATCTTGGTGCCTTTTTCAAAGACTATTCCTGAGAACCTAATGGAACCTGTTCTCGCTGACAGCTGAGGTCGCACAGCTGACCCTGCACAAGGGTAGCCATGTCCATTGTCTTTGCCCCTCTCAGGAAGATGAGCTGAGAAGGCCCCTGAAGACTTGCATTGGGCATTGTAAAAAGTGCTCTGCTGGTGCCTTCTGTAGTCAAGGCTGCAGTGGGTCGGGGCCGGGTGCCTCCATGTTGTACTCCTTGTTAGAACTTACCCAGTGTGCCATTCTGTGAGCTCTGGTGCACCCTGCCAAACCCACCTCAAGTGCCACCTCTTGAGAATATCTTCTCCCAAATCTTTGCCTTAGCCACTGGAGCCTTGAATGCCTTCCCCCGAAATGGAGCTCACTGTGGGCCCCATGCTAACGACCCTGAGCCTGGCAGGTCAGGGTCAACTGTGCCAGGAGCTGCTGGTTTCTCCCTCTAGCTGTGCCGCCACATGAGACCTTCGGCTTCAAGGTGGCAGTGATCTCCTCCATCGTGAGCTGTGCCATCATCCTGCTCATGTCCATGGCTTTCCTCACCTGCTGTCTCCTCAAGTGTGTGAAGAAGAGTGAGCAGCAGCGTGCAGACAGGTACAGTGGCAGGAGGTGGCCTGGCTGTGGGGTTGCTTATCATGCCTGTCAGGCATCCTGGGGCAGTGTCTGAGGGTCCCATGGGCCCCATCTGTCCTCATGGGGACAGCCACAGTATATGGCTCTTGGGATTCTGAGGCATATAGCTGGGCTGTGAAGATACAGGACTGTGTGTGTGTGTGTGTGTGTGTGTGTGTGTGTGTGAGAGAGAGAGAGAGAGAGAGAGAGAGAGAGAGAGAGAGAGAGAGAGCGCTCCCACGTGTGTGTCTGCACTTGAGTGTGTGGCCTTTCTATGCCTGTGTGTATGTGCAGTTGGTCATGTATGAACATGGGTGCATGCATGTGGAAGTCACAGGACAACCTTGGGTGTCTGTCAGGGATTCTCCTTTTCCACCTTTTGTCTCCTCAGGAATACTGGGATTACAGACACTCATATCATGTGTCCAGCTTTTTACATGAGTTCTGGGGATTTGAACTCATTTTGTGCAGCAAATGTTTTCCCCCATTGAGCCACTTCCCTGCCCACATACAGGGGACACTTCGTGAACCTGCACACACACATGACAGTCTATTGTGCTGGTGGCATTTTGGGCTGCCACAGATAGATGCCCCTACAGGGGTGGCCCTCCACACCTGGCAGCAATTGACTTCTTTGTTCACATTATTTCATTGTGTTTAAACATACACACAGAAATTGACATGTTACTCACTGCTGAGGGTGCTATTGGGGAGGTGTGAAGGCTCCTGGGTAAAAGGCTCTGCTGTCAAATCCGATGACCTGAGTTCTAACCCTGGAACCCACATGTTGTCCTCTGATCTCCACATGTGCCCTGTGGTACATGTACCCTTCGCCACAAAATAAAAATGTAATTTAAAAAATGAAGGTCCTGTATGTGCTGTTCAGCGCTGCAGAAATAAATGAGTGAGTAAACAGTTTTTTAGAAGCCGTGCTGTTTGTTCCGTGACTAACAACATGGGGTGTTCAGCAGTCAACACTGCCGCTTGCGAGAAATTGCCACCTCCTGTTGATAAGCTGCTTTTCATTGGAGCCTACATTCATTTCCCGTCCCTGGCTGCTCCATGGAACAGCACAGGTGTCCGCTCCCATGCTCTGCTGCTGTTGACTGGGCCACTGCCACCCAGAGCCAACAGGAGCTGGGCAAAGACGTTTCTGCATGTGCACAGCTGGGAGACGAGGGGCCCCTCAAGGTCCTTCATCCTAAACTCTCTCCTCCAGGACGGCACAGCTTTGGTATCAGCTGAGAGGCGAGGACCTGGAGACGGTACAGGCTGCCTACCTGGGCCTCAAGGGACACAACTGCAATAACAGCAGCAGCATCGGTGGTGGCCGTGGTAGTGGCCGTGGTGGTGGCGGCGGCGGCGGCGGCGGTGGCAAGCCTTAATCCCATCGCTCAGGAGGCAGAAGCAGGAGGATCTCTGTGAGTTCAAGACCAGCTTGGTCTATAAGAGCTAGTTCCAGGACAGGCTCCAAAGCCACAGAGAAACCCTGTCTCGAAAATCCAAAAGAAAAAAAAAAAAAAAAAAAAAAAAACAAACCCTATCTTCCCTGTGAAAAAAATAAA